CAGCATGGTGACCTAACCAGGAAAAGGACAGGAAAGCAATACTGCAGACCCTTCACTTCCTGCCCTTGTACCTTTGTAATCAATCATCTATTAGAAGAAATGCAGTGGCTTTTGTAATAGAACACATGGGAGAAGAAGTAAGGTCAGGGGCTGCAGTTGGCTACATGCAGCAGAAGTTCACAGAAAACAAAACAAAACCCAAAACCCCAACATCTCAGGACTTTAAAATTTCAACTCCAAGGCATAATCTAAGAACCTGGGAAGCTTCTACAACTGGCTCTAAAAGAATCATTTTTCTATTGTATTAAAACTCAGACCCAGTCTTGCTCTGCAGATGGCAGAATTACAGCACTTTGAACTAACAGCCTCTTTAGGTGCTGATATGAAGGGCCGTTAATTGGGGAGGAAGGAGAACATTGAAACTCAAGAGTCTAGATTCACACCTCTAATTGGCTCACCATTCTGGATAATACCTCTAGATTACTGTTTCCTTTTTGTTTTTGAATTCTTGTGGGCATAGCTTATGCATTTTAAAGGATGTCTGTTGAATTTTAGCCATTATTCATAGATGTTTCCTAAAAGGGAGAGTTTTTTAAAAAAAATCTTATAGAGCAAATAATCTCAGAAGTAGTTCCTTTTTGTTTCCTTTAGCAAATGTGAGAAGGATATCAGAAAATGAAAATAGTCAGAAAATATGAGTATTAGTTCTAGATTTTTAACCTTAGCAACTCTTTCCCTTTGTTAAGACTCAGTTTCTGGGAGGGGGGATAAAGGAGAAAGATGGAGGGGAGAATTCAACTATGATATATTGTAAGAACTTTTGTCAAGGTCACAGTGTACCCCCAGTACAACAATAATGTAATTTAAAAAGAGACTCAGTTTCCTTAAGTTCAGATTGGTCTCCAACAATGGTTTTCAAATAATTCACATTTCCTATCCCACTATTGGGTCATATCACCCAACTTAGCGGGCTGAAGCTAGCACCTAGCAAGCAATGTATTCTTTCATAACTGGAGTCCAGGTGTGTGTGTGTACTAGGCCATGGTGTAGGATCTACTTTTACTATAGGTTACACAGGCTACCTACCACTGCAGCTCAGATCAGTGCTGTTGTTCAGAGCCTTCAAGGCTCTGTCCTCTAGGGGCCATAGATGGGAAGCATGAAGGGCTTCCCTCAGGTCCATCCACAGGCCTCTTCCCCAGACTTTGCTTCTGGTCTTGCAATCTTGCTCTTCCAAGTTTCCAAGCAACTGGCCAAGCTATTCCCCTCTGCATGCCTGAGAGGCCTTACTTCATGACACCTGTCTCCAAATAAGGCAATAACCAAGTGTCCTGTTCAACGATCAACATACCAAGGGGCCTTCCCCCTACCACATCATTCAAGGTCAACCCTGAATGGGTCTCTGCAGACCCAGAACTGAGATGTTCCTCTGCCATCAGCTGGCATAAGGCCTGTCCTCAAGCCATGATAAAGGCTGAGAGAGAAGCTTTGTAGTGACAGAGGCTAGTGCCTGGCACTAGCCTCTTCCCCTCCTTCTCCCAGGGTTTCTCCCTGGGAAACCCACTCTGAGTGACTGACCAATGCAGGGAGTGTCAAATTGTAGCTCCTCCCCTCATCAGGACAACTCTGGAAGATAGTCCCAGCTCCTGTGCAGTGGGTGGACCACAGAGCTGTCCTGCCACTCTGGTTTGATCCTTATTCCTGTCCTCATCTGTGCTCATCCCAAGGGCACACTGATAACTCTCCTGCACAGCTGAGATTTCCAGGGGCCCCAACTTGGACATTTTCAAGGTCTTTCTTCTACAGTAGTTATTAGGAGGGCTCTTCTGGCTACTGCTGTCCTTTGTGTACCCAGGAACCAGGACAATGACCAGGTTCTACAAGGAGCCATTGTACCCACCAAGTCAGATGTGGGCCAGAGTGCTAAAAGGAGCCATATTGGCCTTTCAGGTCCCTAGTGTCATTATCAATGCAGATGGCTTTTCCAAAACTCTATAAAGGTCTGGGTCTTCACTACTGCCCTGGCGACAAGGGGGTGGCACAGGAAGGGGTGAAGAATGGAGCCCATAATTCAATCCATGGGGGAAATGTGAGAGGAAATAAAAGGTCTGGGAGGACCTGATTTAGCTTGGCCATGGGGAGGTGAGTGGTAAGGAAGTGCTGTCTGAGGTGAGGTGCAGCTCACAGGCAGGAGCTGGCCTGAAGAAGGTTAGTGGGAAGACAGCTCAGCCCAAGGCCAAGTGTATGGGAAGGCTCTGTGGCAGAAGAGAACTTAGAAATTCATTGTTCCTTCTGCTCAGTTTTTCTGTAAACCAGTAACAGCTCCCATCAAGTCTATTTATTTAAAAACATGTATAAATTAAAAAACTAAAATGAAAAAAAAAAGAATCTTTGTGATCAAGCTAGGCAAAGATTTCTTAATTGCAACCCAAAAAGCACAAATGAAAACAATTGGTAATTGAATTTCATCAAAATTATGAACCTTTGTGTATCAAAAGTCATGGGGATATTTTTGGGTCAATAGATAATAGTCACTGTCTTAATTGTGATCATGAGTGATACATATGTCAAAACCTACCTGCTTTTACATTAAAATGTATACAAGGAATTGTGCATCAATTATGCTTTAATAGAGCTGTTAATGTTCTATTTCAAAAAGAAAACATAAATGAGCTATTAAACCATTGAAAACTTCGTTTAATGCAGAGACCCTGGGCCTTGCTTCCAGGTCTCAGGATCCGTGATTCTGATAGTCAGAAATCTGTGTTTCAACAGGCTTCCAGATAATTCAAAAGCACATTTTGAAACAGCCACCCTATGCCCTGGGCAGCAGGATTTAAAGTACCTCAAGTGTGATGAGAGCACCCAAGGACTGGTGGGGCAAGCAGAAGAATCAGGAAGTCTGGGACAAGGACAGGGATCCCATCTCAGTGGCACAAGAGAAAAAGAGGTCCCTTGTCTCTCCATCCAGGGATTAAGGGCACCTAGAGCAGCAGAGATTTGGTGGCATGGGGGATCCCAGCTCCTCTCAACATGGAATGTTTAGTGAGTGTCATAGCCTATGATACCCCAAAGGGGACAGTCCTGATTTAATGTTATTCTCAGAGGTTCCAAGACACGGAACTGTGTTGGTGTGATGGCTGACTTTATAAGTCAACATGGTGAGGCCCTGGTCCCCAGCTGTTTTGTCCAACAACAGTCTGGATATTGGAGTGATTAATGTTTACATCAGCCAACTCTGACCAAAGCAGATTACCCTCCATATGCAGTGGGCCTCACTGAATCAGGAGACAGTCCTAAGAGGATGGAAGATCCTGGAAGAAGAAGACATTTTACCTCCAGACAGCCTTTGGACTCCAGCTTACAGCACCAGATCTTTTCTGAGTCTCAGCTTGCCACCCTGAGCTAAAGATTCCAGACTAGCCAGCCCTACAACTGCGTGGACAATGTCTGCAAATAAATCTCTCAAAAGACAGTTAAACTATTTATTTTAACATATTTGTCTATAAATAAAATGAAATGCAAATATATGCATACATACACATGTTTATATAATGAAATTAATTGCTGGGGGACCTGTGAGAAGAACAAGTTTGGCTGTGATACATATGTTCAAAGTCATGACTGTACCATCTACATTTCTGTATCCTTCCAGTGCTTAACACATTCAACTTTCACAAGGTATCTGAATGAATGAATGAATGAATGAATAAATGTTTTTACCTCCTGTTGGGCCACATGATTTGTTGTCTCCCTTGTATCTACTGCAGGTAGACTTAACCAAGAAATGACCCAGAAAAGCCTGAACCACCAGGCCCTGACCCTGCGATGTAGCACTGGTCTTCAAACATGGTCTCCCCATTTTTCTAAAAATAAATTCTTATCCTTTGTGTGCCAGTCTGGCACACATGCTATTCTGTTCCCTCTCAATGGAAAGGCCTGTCCTTGGATGTTTTTTCTCCATTCTTATGAGTGATGACTTTGGCCACTAACCAGTGATCCATATGTACACAGACAGATAGTGCTACTTCTCAAGCCACCTTGTTGTCCTGAATTACTTTTTGGATCTGTTAAGGAGAGGGAAGGAATGGTGTGGTCTCTAACTGCCAATTCATAAACCCCCAACTTTCAGCTTCCAACTGGATGGGAGTCCTCTGATGGCTAATCCACCCACTTTCATTTGTGCCCATCACAGGGACTTTTGTCCCTTAGGTGGGAGCTCCCTGAGTATGGGTTGGTGTTGGGCACTGAACTGACAGAAGCAAAGCTGGTTCATGGCTGGGTGACACTGTGTACTAGGAGAGAAAGAAAAGAAGTTAAGAATGTCAAAGCTGGGCTTGGTGGCTCAGGCCCATAATCCTAGCTACTCAGTAGGTCGAGATTGGGAGAATTGAGATTCAAGGCCACCCCAGGGAAACACTTAGCAAGATCCCATCTCAACCCATAAGCCTGTTATCCTCGCTATTCAGAGAACATACATAAGGAAGATGGTGGTCCAGTCTGGCCTGGACACAAACATAGACCAGGTTCAAAAAAACAGTTAAAAGATAAAGACATGGCTCAAGTGGGAGAGCACCTGGCTAGCAAGTACAAGGTCCTGAGTTCTAATCTCAATACCACCAAAAAGAAAAACGTCGGCATAAGGAAAGGCTTAAAAGTTCCTGTGATCAAGCCTCCTTCATGGATAAGGAAACCAAGTTCCAGAAACATGAAGCAATTTCCCAAGGCTCATTTTCCAAGCTCTTCTGAAGCCTTCCTTACCCTTCTTGTTGGAGGATATAGTGTCTTCCTCTAGAATCCTGTATGTATCACCTGTTCCCTTCTAGCACTGTGCTTGGTGCTCCATTAGACTATAAGGTTTGAGAGAATTGAGTCCCTGACTAACTCCCAGGGTCTGGTGTGAGGCCACACACGCCATGGTAGAGACTCCGTCCATGCTTGTAGAAGAATGAGAGAAGGGAATGGAGAGAAAAGAGAAGGAAAACAGGTAGGTCTAACGTTCAGCAATTTGACTTATCACAAGTAAACACAGTAGCAAGCATCATTTGAGACCCTAAGCCTAGCAATACAGGGTACCGTGGAAAATGAATCAGGGAGCTTCCTGGGGCTCTTGAGAGGGTGAAGGCTCTTCCCTCCTTTTGCGTCACTTCTTGGATCCATGGAATAAACTGAGGCACAGACACAAATAGACCAGGCCTCCCCCTGGAGCCAGAGCTCAGGCCCCAGCTGAAGACACCCACTTGGAAGAGCCGCCGAGACCTCCAGTTAGCACAGACCATGGGTGCTCCACTGTCTCCCTACAAACAAGAAAAGGAGGAAGCACAGTTTGCAAGAAGCTAGCAGAGCCTCCCACAAGAGGGCATGGAATGGGGCCTGTCAGTGTGGGCAAGGGGCCTTCCTCCCAGTTTTCTGCTGGGAACCCAGAAAATGGGGTGGTTATGGGGAGGAAGGGTTTGACAGAGGCTGTTACCTGGCAGTTGCCTTTGGTGTGTGGTTCCTGCCAGGCACAAAGCATGGTCGTGGAGAGCCGCCTTACTCTCTTGGCACATTCTCTCTGGTTAATCTGAATCACCCTCAGCTTCTTCAGGTGCAGGCTTAAGCCATTGTGTGGGCCTGGAAATGTGAGGAAGCCTTTGTAAGAAGGAGCATGGTGGTGGCCACCTATAGTGACCAGTTCATACACGATCAGAGTGGATGTCCCGAAGGGCTGCAATGTCCAGCAAGTCTAATTCCCAGGTCACCTTGTGTGGATGACCTAGCACAAGGCCCCACTCACTCTCCTCTCAGCAACCCCAATTTTGGCAGAGTCCCTCTGCCAACGTGTCTCTCTGGAAGATGCTCTCTCCTTCCAGAAACAGCTCATAGAAGCCCAAGCCCAGCCCTTCCAGGGGAACCTGCTTGGAGCTTTCTCTGTGGCCTCACCCTCTCCATAGCCATGCTTTGTCCCTGTGCAGTTTAGGACAGCCCAACCTCCGAATAAGTAGTGTCCCATGTCTTTGCCAAGCCAAATGGAGAAACCAGGAAGAGGACACACCTGGATGGTTAAAGTCTTCTCCCCATCCCACTCCTTCCCTCTCAGAAGTACTCTCTGGCTGACTACTCTGGTACTCTCCAAGGAAAGGGTGGAGTCCTTGGTGGGCACTAGTCTGGAGAATGGAATTGCTGGCTTGGCATTATCAAGGGAGGAGGGGCATGGACATTGGAAACTAGCCCCCAAAGGAAGAATCCCAACAATTTTTTGAAGGATCCATAAAAATAACCATTGCTCTTTTGATTTTTGAGATTTGTCTGTCTCAGGCTTTTAATGAGGACTTTATCTGTATAATTTCATTAATTTAATCTTCATAGCTTATTTGAGGGAGACATTGCTATTATTCTACAGATTAGAAAAGATGAAGGTGAGGAAGGTAAAAGATCCTGCCCAAAATTCAGTCCTGATTCTTCCACCTCCAAAGCATCCAACCTAAATATGGGGTCCCAAGGAAAGGCACATACCATACCCACTAGCCGATACCCACTCTGCCATCCAGCATCGGTCCCAGGTTTCCTCTTTCTCTGGCAGGCAGATGGGCATTTTGAAGTTGGTAAATTTCACTGGAGTGGCGAGCAGGAGTAGGCAGAGGTCACTGTCGAGGTGGGGTGGCTTGAAATCTTTGTGAATAATGATCTTCTGCACTTGTTTTCTCTCCAAGTAGATGTTGCTTAATACTTTTGTTCCCATGACCACAGTGACATTTACCACTGCTCTTTCTAAACTGAAGAATTAATGTAAAAACACTATTGATGCTATCAATAGCCCTGGGGCATTTTGCATCTGTAGAGCACATTTGTAAATGGTAGAGTTTGCCTCTAAATACTGACAAGCTCAGGGTCATACATGTGCTTCAGTGGCCTCAGGAGTGACTAGAGATCAGGTGGGTTGGAGTCAGGGACCAGCCCCAGGCGAATCTCTGAGCCAGTGAACCATCAGCCTAGGAAAACTTCCACCCAACAAAGGTGGAATAAATCTGCCTGAGAGAAGACGATGTGAGCTCCTTAGCAACGGAAAGCTTGGCTATCTCATTGACTGCTGTATCCCCAACACTTGGAAAAGCACCCAGTAGGTGCTCAATGATTGTGTGCACAATGAGTGAACTCAGTGTGCAGAAGAGACACCTGTACTGTTTTTCCAATACTGGGTACACAGCCGTGAGTAGCCACCTTGAATAAGAGAGGAGACTGTAAGTAGAGAGCAGACTTTTGGTCCAAAGCCAACTGGCGCATACTGGACACAGAACCTCTGCTTTAAAAGTCTTGCGCCCAAACGCACTTAGCAACCAGCCCAGACAACATTTGAGTGAGAGGCAATGTAAATAAAAACAATGCCCCAAACACTTACAGCGTTCTTGGGAAGCAATGTGCAGCTGTCAGAACCCACCACCGATGTATGATGGAGCCTCCACACAAGTGTTTCTGAAACATCTGGACACTCGCTTGCCATGGGAACTCCCCATTCTGGACTTCAAGCAGCTCGCGGAATGGCAGCCATGATGAGTTTGGGAAAGCAGGTCTGTAGCCACACTGAACTGTTTCTGAAAGAGAAGGGAAGGGACCATTGCCCCATGAGCGCTCAGAGGAATCCTCATCTCACATTCCCAGCTAAGACCCGTGCTGACGCTGTGTGAAGTCAGATGAGTTGGCCCAGGGGATGGATCTCAGAAAACACCAACAGATCAGTGTTTATTCTGCACATTAAAAAAAGAACTGTGAGACCCAGGAAGGCAGTACAGAGCCCCAGCAGAAAGCGTAAGGGGTTAATGGAGCCATCCCAGAGACACACAGAGTCCATTCAAGAGACAGAAGCCATGCGGTAAACTGAACACGAGATATGGCAGGAAGGCACACACTGTAGCTTCAGGGTAACCAGAAAGGGCAGAGGACTCTAAGAAGACCACAGGGCTAGGGAGGAGTGCCTAAGGAAGGAGCAAACTTATAGGGAAGCCCCTTTGCACAATGGGACTCAGTAGTGAGAAGTGTGTTTGCAGCCCAATAGAAGCCAAAGAATTTGCTGGGCTCCTCAGGTTGATTAAAGAGAAGAGATAGAGCCACTGAGTTTCTGTCCAACTCTCAAGCTTTACTTGAGCGATGTTTTGACAGATCTGCAGGCAGCAACAGGTGCCACCCCTTACAGCATGAGACCATGCAAAGGCTAAGACAGGACAGGGGAATCATCCAGAATGGAGGGAGGACAGGGAACTCCCTGAGGAAAGAGGGGTGGGTGGTGCTGTTCAGTAGCTCCCACTGAGTCTCTGGGTCTGACAGCTTTCCCAGGTGGCAGTGCTTGAGGTTTTTATGGATGCAGGCTTTATTTTGTCCATGGCTGGCGGATGCTGGCTGCATTTTCATGGCGTAGGCAAAGCAGGCAGGCTCTAGATGACTAAAACTCTGCTTATCTGGACTATGTCTAAAACAACTGAATGTGTGGAAATCAAGTTGGGCCCCTGTAGGCTTTTAAAGAAGTGTCAACCTGCTGTGAGAAACAAACAACCCAGGGTCCAACAGAGGCCACCTTCGTTTATCTATGTAAGAGGAGTCGTTGAACAGCAGGCAAGGGCTTGAGTTCACCAGGGCGTGTGTGGGTAGAGTGAGCACCACCAGATGTCCCCACATGCACTTCTGACAACCACACAACAGGGGCAAGGAGAAGTGAATGAAAGTACATGGGACAGCATCAGGAAGAGAGGGAGGTGCCTCGAGCACCTTCTACTGACCAAGTCGCTGCAAAGAAAAATACACACAAAGCCCAGTTCTTTTATTGCAGGGCAAGTAATAAAGGGTGGATTTGGGGCTGAGAGGCCATAAACTTGAGAGATCCAATTTACAAGGTGTGTAGGGAGTTAGTGGGGGACAGTGGAGGAGGACACACAAGGTACACATAATAGACAAAGTCCCAGTAGCCACCATTTTTGGGAATTCTAAAAATGATCAACTCAGGAAATTGAGCATCAATGAAAAGGGACTTCCATAGAAATTATAAGTCTATATTCTTTTTTTTTTCAAAGAGGAAAGTGGTAGAAAAAAAGTAACAAAATTTACCTGATAGAACTCTATTGCTTTGTTGGAATAGTAAAACACCTGTAAACGACTGTGGCTTATGTATACACTCGTGCTCACATGATGACATGACGTATACATATATCCATCTTTGATGCAGTCTGAAATTGACCAAAATAAAATTTTTAAAGAAAAAAAATCTATGCTGAAATTAGGAGAACCAAACTCATACTGCAAATGTGGAGGACTTTCAGAGGATGACATTATTTTATCAAGATGTAAGAGATACTGAGAGTCAAAATGTAACATTGTTGTTCTAGAGTTCCTCACAATGCAGAGTTCTGGAAACAAAACGAAAAAAGAATCCACAGGTTTCTATGGAATCTAAAGGAATAGATTCCCTTGCCCCCAAAGCAAGGTAAGTTATGTAATCCTCCCAACCAAAAGGGCATGTAAAGTGCTTAATTTAAGTGATAAAGTAAAAATTTTAGATTTGTTGGAAGGCGGCATGTCTTTAGGTGTACTTGGACAGTGTTATGGGGAAAACAAATCAAGCATTCACAATTAGTACTGAACTCCAAGTGTCCTGAACATCCGTATTTCCACACCCCAGAGGGTAAATGTCCATGGCTCAGGCTGGCAATGAGAAGGACAAGGAGAATCTTTTCTAGGCTGCTGGTCTTCTTGTGGTTCTGGCCAGAGAGAACAGTTTGACCATAACAGCACCTCATCCCTTTAACTTGGTTTCTTAATGGCTAAGACAAGGAGGCAACTAAACGTTGTGGCAGGCACTAGCACCACCCTTGCAGAGAAAGCCATGGGGCTGACTTGGGAAATAAAAGAGGCTTGGAGTTCCTCATGATCAGCATGAAAGGGGAAGAACCCCTGAAAACCACAGATTCCCTGCTTCTGAAAAGACAGTTCTTTATCCATGCCCCCACACCCGCCTTCAGAGAGGAAGTATTGCAACGAAATATTCCCAGACTGTGACTGGTCACCATCCCAGCTCCCCTTCCACTCTCTTAGGCAGATGATTTGAGGTGATAAATGATCAACGTCCAGCTCTTCAGGGAAAGAGAAAAGATGGAGACGAGGCTCAAGTAAAAGGGAGAGACAGCAATGAGTGTCTACCTAGACCGCGTGGAACAAAAGGTGAGTCCAAGGTAACCGGCCCTGAGTTAAAAACAAGCAACCTAAACAAAGAAAAATCATGCAACACTACTACAGAAAAAGAAGCAATGGAAAAGAATACATGGATAATAAACAAATAGACTTGGATAACAACGAGGAGAGTGGCAAAGGAGAGCTGGTACTGTGCAAGGACAACAAAGAAAACATGGAGCATCATGGATTAAAAGCTCATAAGAAGAATCAGCAAAATAAACAGGACAGCAGAAGCAAAGAAAAATAAGAGAAAATAATAGAATTGAGGAATTGCCTTCTTGCTGAGGATAATTAAAAGTGTGCACTATGTGACGTCACCTGTTTGAAAGCACTCAGTGAGTCAGCGCAGAGATACAGGAAGATCTAGGAAGAGAAGGAAAGCCAGAGAGGTGAGCCCAGCAATGGGAGCATCACCTGGGCAGTGGGCAGCCTTACAGTGGGAGGACTCCAGGCCCTGACCATGGCGAGGGCCTCGTGCACTCCTGTGGCTTTGTTAGCCTGATTGATGGTCACACCCTAGAAGTAAGAGTGCATCAGAAGTCACCTGGGCCACAAGGACACATGTGGAGTAATGAACCCAAATGTCACCTCTTCAAGAGGCACTACAACATCCCAGGCAATAATGACAGGTGGTGCAGAAGCCTACTTGCATGTGCACGTGCACACACACACACCACATAGTCACTCACACCCACTCTCACTCACATACACACACACTCTCTTACACCTGCACATATGCACCCAGGGTACAGTTGCACCCCCCCACAGCCTGAGCATCTGGGATGTGAAGAAGTGAGTATCCATGCAGTGTAATATTATTATTATTATTATTGTTATTGTTATTGGTGGTGGGGGTACCAGGGTTTGAACTCAGGGCCTTGCCCTTGACAGGCGCTTACCACTTGAGCCATACCTCTAGCTCTTTTTGCTTTTAGTTATTTTTCTGTAGGAACTTGTGTTTTGCTCAGGCTGACTTCAGACTGCAAGTCTCCTACCTATGCCTCCTATGTATCCGGGAACACAAGTGCATGCCACCACACCCAGCTTATCTGTTGAGATGAGGTCTTACTTTTTTCCTAGGTTGGTCCCATCTCTACCTCCCAAGTAGCTGGGATTATAAGTGTGAGTCATCTGGCAGGCCTTGCAGTGCAGTTATTAATGTCAACATTATTACATGGGTCGCAGCTAGCAGAGGTAATCTGAGATCTTCAATGTAGCTTATAGAATTGGTTTTTGGTTAAAAATTCTTTTAAAAAATATATTAAACAGGGGAAAAGGCAACAAAGAAAGGAAAAGGAAAGGTCTGGGAGATGCACAAATGGAAAACAAGCAGTGAGATGCTCGATTCAAACCCACATATATTAGTAGTAACAAAGTTCAGCATAACAAAGTATAAAAATACAGAAAAATTAAAAGTATGTCAATGAGTAAAACTGATCAAACATGGCCATTACACTAGCCATCCTAACCTAACCAAGGCGATGTGGAAAGCACATAGGATAGGAAAGGAAGAAATAAAACTGCCATTTTTCACAA